GTCCAGTTATCCAATCGTGGGTTTGCCTAGCACCACAGACGATACCCATCTAGGTGTCTTGCAGTGAAAGGCATAGGACAAATCTTGTTCTTTGATCAATGCCTTCGTGATTCTCATTTATCTTCGACATCCGTGAATCGAGTCTCCTGTCGATCTCATAGACCGCATTTCCTTCCTCAAAGAATGTACTTAACTCAACCGATGATTTGAGATTTAAAAAACATTTGACTTGTCGCTATGAATTGGAAATACCACTTCAATAATAACATAGTTGCATAGCTTACTGAAATGTTCGAACACTAATATTTTTGTTTCATTCCATTGATTATATAACTTTTTCTTCACCTATTAGCTTGATGGACGTTGAACTCTATGATATTCAAGTTTTCTTCGAATTATTTCTTGAATCAGAATTATGAAACCAGCTCTGTACATTCAGGTAAATTGATTTGTTTATTGCATATCACAGAGTATCATTAATTAAAATTCTCGTCTACGAATACATTAGCAGAGAAACAGAATTATTCACATCTTGAAATGAAATCTGTCAGATAGGAAAAACGAAACCCATCTCCTTAATGGACCATTTTAACATAAAACCGACGGAGCTAAATTATATCTAACCAAATTAGTTTTTTCGGAGACCTTGACATATACTGTCAGAGTGGATAGAACAGGTAGCGCAATGAATCTCACAGAAGTCTCAGAATATACGTATCTTTATTGGAGAAGGTCGTCAATCTTGGTTGTTCACCGAAATGAGAATTGTCGAACTGAATTGATGAATACTAATTGAAAACCTTAAATGACAGTCGAATTTGAAAACCTTGGAGTTCTTTGTGGACTAGTTTGAAACTGGTGAAAGTTTATGTAGGACACACATGTACAGGACACACGTAATATCGATTCAAAAGAAAAACAGATACCTACGTATGAAAATGATACATCATTATCAGCACGCCATTCCTCTATTCCAACGATGAAATTAATAGTTTCGTTTTGTAAAACCTCAAACACTTCAGATTCAGCAAATATCCTTGTAATCCCATTGATAATAATTATATAAATATTCGATGTCACAACGACAAAACAGAAACAGTGTATCAAAATCTTTGCTAAGTTATATCGGAAATCTGAAAGGATCAACATCGAGCCACTTGTTATTCCCTCCCTTCCTCTTTCTTTCATCAAAGTTTATGAATAATCTTCCAAGATTGTTTTTTTTTAGATCCCCCCTCGATTAGTGAATTGTTTTTTCGAAAGACGCGTCTTGGTCGATTGAATAAATTATATTTGTTCTGTATGTTTTGCAACGTATTGTTTTCCATTTTTTTTTGTCTGAGCTGAAATACAAGGAGAACTAAGGCTTAAGCATTTCATTCACATGTTGATGTTTGTAATCGACTAGCGACACGCCCCTTCTTCGCACGGGTGCAATGCTGATACTTAATTTAAATTCACCCAGCGGAAATTTGAGGGCATGGAGAAACAAGGATGGAAAGGTAACTTTGAAATAACAATAATAAGGTGTCTTCAATACCTTAGTCTACCGCAGTCGCGTGATGGGTATAGAGGTACCTGACACAAGGTGCAGGACCTGCCGCGAGGCGTCCAAGACCCTAACGCACTTGCTATCAGCACTGCGGTCTATATTCATCAACATAACGCGGCCCTAAGAGTGCTATATTACCATCTACGGAACTCTTACGGTATTGACGAAACACCGGTGTTGCCCTTCGCTCCGGGGGATATTGAATCCGTTGTGGGGAACCAGAAGTGCCTAATTTATTGGAACTATTAGTTCCCCACCCCCAGGCTCATACAAGCTAATAAGCCTGATGTAGTCCTTCTCGACCACCAGAGCAAAACGATATTTGTCGTGGAGTTTTCAGCTCCTGGCGAGACGAATATCGTCCGAAAAGAGGAGGAAAAACGGATAAAATATCGAGATTTTCTCTTCGAACTCCGCATACTCTATCCAGATCACTCTGTCAAGATGGAACATAAACGTGGAAGATAATCAGAACAAGATTATTGGAGTCCTTGGTGGAATGATGTCCTCTCTACTGTCGAATCTTGGCTCACTGCGCTTGCTCAGGGCACATGATTCTCGGACCCAATGATCACTTACTCCACGGTGTGGGGAGTGGTCATTGGTTGATAATGCTGGCGCGCCCTCTCGAATGTATCGGGGATTCGGGGGACAGGGCCTGACCAGCGCACCCTACGGTGAAAATAATAATAAAAATAAACGGTCTTTATTTTTATCTTGGCGGAGCTTATCTTACGCTATTCTACTCAACGTGTGTCAATTCATCGATAGAGTTATAGACATTTATAGACATATTATTCGAGTGGAAACGACAATGAATCAGTTATTTCATACTTGTTCTGTATGTTTTGCAACGTATTGTAGTATTATATTCTTTCGTGACTGAGCTGAATGACAAGCAGAACTAATGCTTGGACATTTCATTCACATGTTGATGTATGTAATCGTCTAGCGACACGCCCCTTCTCCGCACGGGTGCAATGCTGATCAAAATGTAAATTCACCAGAAACACTAACAAGAAGATCTACTTTCTTTGTAAGCGCAAAATCACATGTTCAACTCAATATTTCCAAACATACTCGATATCCTTGGATTTCAAATCTGAAACAAAATTCATATGTCACTGACGCAATCTGGAGGTGACCAAACTGCATGGCCTTTTGTGTCACTTTCTGTTACTCTTCATGTCAAGTGAATATACCGTTTTTCATAAATATTCAACCACTCGTTTCTTTCAGAATATTTTTGATTTTCAATGAAGTACAATCCAGAAGCACGATTGCAGATATCATAATTCATCAGATTTTTAACATATTGAAATTGAGGTAACTTTTAGAAATTATTAGAATTGAGGGAGAAGGTTTACTATGAATTAAAATGAAAAAATCGCAAGATAGTGAAACATAATAAATTATCACAATTCCAGCCATTGGCTTTATTCTGTGAGTGGAATTTATTAATTTATGAAGCTCTAATAGCCTTCACGATCATAAAAATATATTGAAGTCGAATTCTTTGGTACATAAACGAAATATCATCAATAGCTATTGAATTCTAATGTGTTTGTTGAAAAAATGTATTTTCATTGTTCCTGCATTTCTCAATTCGTGGAGATAAAAACACGTCTAATAAAGTATTTACTATTCTAGTTACTACTATTGTAACATATAATATCAATATACATTTACAATTGTACCACTGATAATGACAGCAATTGACATTTATGAAAATGACAATGATAAACAATATGTATACTGAATCTTGTTGACAGGAGGAAGGGTGAGAAATGTACTAACTGTATAAGTTTGTGTGTGTGTAAGTAAAATGTTGAATTCGACTGCATATAAACTCAGTGCAGTGAGTTGTAATTATTTATGAAACCATTTATACTTGTAATACACTGTTTGGAACCTTTGGTGTACTAATGAATATTACTGGAGTGTTTTCAACCCAGCATGTTCGTGCTGGGTTACATCGTCTTTTGACTTTCCCTCTAACACATGATAGGTTCGCAAAAGAAAAACGTACAATTCAGGAAATAGCAGCCACTAACGGTTTCTTGAGGGGCATTATAGATGACAATAAGAAAAAAGAAGATTAGGTTAAGAATTATTATAGATGACATAATAAGGAAAAAGAAGTTTAGATCAAGAATGACCCAAATCCCGACTTTTAGAAAGGATAAAAACTAAAATGAAATATATCTCAGTTCCATACCACCAATAAACGAAGGACTTTGGAAATATTTTCAAGGAACTAGGTACGAAGGTGGTTTTTAAAACAAGTCAAACACTACAGAGCCTTTCAGGAAGTCCAAAAGACAAAGTCGAGAATTCGGGAAAGTCTGTAATTCACGAAATTAAATGTAAAGACTGCGATGCAAAATAATTTGGATAGAAAAATATCTAATAAAATAAGATATAAAGAACACTTTGCATCCTTGAAACATGGAAGACCTGAAAAATCAGCAGTTGTCCATAATCATCATTGCAACGAAACCATTAAATAGATTTCAGTTCATTAGGATTAGTTAGAAAAGTTAACAAAAGGCATCTAGATGCCTATGATAGTGTAGAAATAAGTAAACATAATTATATTATGAATAACGATGGCGGAAGAATACCAAATAGTATACCTCATAGCTTGTTAAAATTATATTTTATTCATTAGATTTACCTGACTATTACATAAAAACACATTGTAAAATTAATTTGAGACTAGTAGAAAGGGCAGTATTGTGAAATTAATTTTATATAGCTCATAATATTTCAATTATTAGATTCACCTAGCTATTACATAGGGACACATTGTAAAATTAATTTAAGATCAGTAGATAAGGCAATATTGTGAAATTGATTCAAGATAATCAAGACGCAGAACAGGTACCTAGAACAGGTATCTATGGTTTAAATGAGAATAGCTTTGTAAATATGATTAGTTTGATCTTGAAGATGATTACTTGGTGATCGAAACACGTGTCGAAATCTTGAAATAACGGTTTGGTATTGGGAAAAAACGCCAGTAATATTCAAACCAATTACAATTTTTGTCAAAATATAATATCTGATATCACTTGCCTATTGGATAGGTATATTCAGGCAGTCATTCATCAGAACCTAAGGTGTACGAAGCTGAGAGAGATTTCATTTAGAAATATTCATTTTTTGTATCTCTCCTTGATACAGTCTTCACACACTGTTTGATCTCTGTTAGAGTATTGGTATATGGAATGTTTCTTTCCCGCTTGAAGCTTTGTTCATGAGAAGGAGCTGTTACTAGTTAACAATCTTTCTCTTAGACGAAGGTCTACCTTTACCTCTGTACTGATTTTATTGCTATGATCATAATGTTGTTTTGATAATTGCATCAAATTGTATTTTTGATGAAATGCCTTTTTACGTTCATGATTTCAAATAACTCAGTATGATTTTTGTACATTTGTTCTAGGGGTGATGACCATGGCATTGGTGGGAGTCATCATGGTTTGCGTATCATGTCTGGTGTTCCTGTACAATCCCCTTCAGATGATATTGAGGAAGGTGAGTTGATTGATACTGAAATGTGTGATTATGTGTTGCACCAAAAAAACAATATTTTAAACAAAAAATCAAAACTTTCACCTCTTCTGCGTGCTAGGGTATAGCAAACACCTACTGGAGAACAACTACTTTTCTGGATAACAATACGAGTGACATTGGACATGCGATAGGCATTTGTTTAAATTCCCTCATAGATAAAATTCTTACAGATGATTCTGGTTCATTCGGTTGAAAAATATTTCTGAAAAACATTAAGTGATCACATACATATCTATCTGACAAGATATGCCTCACCAGAATAGAATGGTCTCCATCAAGATGACAGCAGTATATTCTTTGATACGAATCCCTGGAGTTTCATTATTATCTGTGTTAAAGAATTCAGTTGAAAACTAGATGGCAGTTTAGGTTAGATCTATCCCACACTAGTGAAAAGTAATCCTCCAAAAATGCTCTGGACGTGATCATTAGTATAGTTTTAGCAGCTGCTGAATGTTACAAACAATAACATCATCCTGCAGTGGAGCCATCACATTGCATATTGTTTTATTGTTCAAGTTTTCTTATTGAGTTTCTATGTTCGCTCCACAAACTGTTCAACTTCCATTTAGTCAACTCCAGCTCCTCTGAACATCTCTTACTGAAGAAAAATTCAAATACGTGATTTCCCCTAATTCTGGGGCTTTTTTGTGGCATCGTAGAAAGGCTCTCATCAATTTCTACCATCTGAACATCTACACAATGCCTTGTGTAGCATTTCAATTTGATTGAAGAGGCAAAAGAGCAAACACTTTTTGAGAAGAATCCATAATGATATCTGTGGTCACATGGAATTAGCATGATATTTCTTAACATTAATAGGTAGATGATTTTTCCAAAAACCTTCAGAAAGCCATAAGAATCAAAATTTTACAAACAGATAATGGTTCAGAATAAATAAAAAGTCTGTGAAAATGTGGGATTCAACATCGAACCATAACCACTTGCACTCCAGAATAGTGTAGCAGAACCCACCATCCACACCGTCTACACCATCATTGGAAAGAATATATACATGCTTTATTATTTCGGGTTGGGTAAGTAATGTTTATGTCAAGAATAGATCGCCGGAAAAAATGTGAGTCATCTCCGTATATTTGTATGCATGTCCCGGAACAGAAACGTCAAAAGTGGGATCAAGATTTATACTATCAGGATTCTGGATCATATTATTCCATTTGTTCACAAAATTGTGTATAGCAAAGATGTATTCATCAATTACAGTTTTCCAGAAAAACCAAAATTTCAATTGATAATTTGAATCACCTAATTTTTGAAGATTTATTAATTTTCGTAGAAAACGGATTTGATGATGTTGAAGTGGGTGCAAAAAGTGATAACGCTTCTTGTATGGAAAGCTCCGAAAAAAACTCTGTTACCTATATTCTCCGATAATTGAAGAGGCGAGATATAAATAAGATGCTGAGCTTTGGAAAAAAGAGAAATCACACATGGATTCAAACAGATTCTCCATCGAGAAGAAAACACATCAACATTGAAAGAAAAGGAAAGATATAACACCACAAAGAACGGCTTGGGCTCGATTATGAAGAAGTTTTTTCCATAGTATCAGATACATATCTTTCCGATAGCTTTTTTAAGGACAAAAGAAACTATAGAAGAATCAACATGATTCAACTTGGAGAGTTTTTTTCAGCTAAATTTTTACGAATGTCTGCAAACTGAGAAACGTCATTTATGCTATGGCTAGCAAAGAGTAGAATGGGGAATTGGACTTTGAATTGAAAAAATCTGGATTGAAACAATGTAAGCTAGATCTTTATGTTGATGATAACTACAAAATGATTTTCATTGCTGGTTATGCAAAACGACCTATTGATAATTTCAAACAAATATGAACCAAATGCCAATCAGCAAATTCAGCACGTGCTGATGGATACCAAGGAGAAACAAAGCATTTAGGTAGTAAACGCCATTACAGCAGGGAAATTAAGGTGAAATAAATCAATGTGGCGATCAATGTGCAAAAAAAACTTATTCTGTGACATAAAAATCGTAATTTATGAATGAAATGTGTGTTTTTCCTTATAATGTTATCCCAGATTGATACTGAAGAGTCTTAAGGCAAGTGTCTTACGGCGAAACATCGATGTCTACCAGTGAGCATGGCAGTGTTCCATGTAGGTGAAATTTTTATTTTTATTCAGTGTATGGTGTAGAAACTCTGTGAATGATATCTGTTTGGAATACAAACTGAGTAGAAAACAAGAGTTTTCTGTATGATTCAGTGTTCATATGGAAGTATTTGTTTCGAAAGAATTTTTCTTTCGTGTAATTCAATGTTTATATGAAAGTAGCTGTTTCAGGAAGGCTTTTTTTCAGATTTATGTCTGAAATTTACTTCTTTGCATGATCTACACATCTATGTATACAGTTACTTCTTTTAAAATTGATTACTTTCTTTGAAAGATTTCTGCATTTTTCTGTATCCAAATGAAGTAGTAGAAAGCCAAAAACTTTCTTTCCCCAAACAATTGGGTTTCGAAAAACAAATGTTTTGTTCAACAGACTTGAGATTACTCCTCAAATCAAGTGAATGATGTTCAAGTGAAGGTTCCAGACTCTGTGTTGAACTTACTATTCTTTTCGTTGTTGTTGATGACCGTTGAAATTATATGAGAGTCGGCATACACAGCTTCAAAATTTGTCATTGAATGTCTTTACCCGTTACATGAACTGCTCAACTCATTCCATCGCTGAAGGATTAGAAGCACCTGCAAGAATGTTCCTCAACTTACGTTCGTTTAATTTCATCGCTGAAGAATCAGTAGAACCCGCAAGAAATTTCCTCGCGGAAATGTCTGTCTGTACAATATTTGTTGTGGAGTGCGCTGGAAAATAATTGTTTCTAGCTGGCAATTACTGAATCCTAGCCTGTAGAATTTTTTGAATCATTTTTTCGATTAAATTATCATGAATCAAACATTATTTTCAGTTTCTTACCTTGAGTCCCGGATCAATGTTCTTCTCCCTCTGGGAAACCCCACCTTATGACGTCGTCATGAAGATCTACATATTCAACGTGACAAATGCTGAAGAATTCTTGAGGGGAGAAGAAAAACTGAATTTCACTCAATCTGGACCGTACGCTTACAAGTGAGATATAAAACTTTTTTTTTTCTATCATACCGAAATAGTGAATAAATTGATTTTTCACGCCATTCACATTCATCAAATTTCATAGCTTTAGACCTACTTCTTCAACCAAATTTGCGTGATTAAACCCCTCATTGAAAATTTATAAATTACAGTAACACAAGCAATTTAGTGGGAATGACATTGCCATGTTATATAAAGATTTCAAATCAGTTCAACCAATATAGAATATCAATTCATCAAGTGGGGACCTATTTCAAGTGTTTTGAAAATATGAGATCGATCGTCCAGTACTGTACGAGGGCTTTTACACATAATTATGATCTAAATAAGGAAGGTGGCAGGTAAAACATGAAAAATGTTGAGATTGATTCATGTATACTATTCTGCAAAGAGTAGGCAGTAGTCTAATGTCCCACGAAGTTGGTTGAAGCCAAAGGTTGTACCATCCACTTCATTCAGGTACGTCGTAACCAAGTAACAGAAAGAAATACAACTAGAGGAGTAGATGAAGCATCCTTGGGCTGAATAATTTTGACAGGCTCTTCAAATGGACCACCCTCTCAATTCTCATGACCAGGTAAAATCTGGAGAAAGTAGTTCATCTTGAGTGTTTGAAATGGGCTGCAAAGTTGAATAATCTTCCTTTCGTCTTCACTAAGAGAGAAATGGAGAGATAAAAATCCTATATTTCCATAACCAGGTACAATCCGTAGAGCCGATTAGAGCAGGAAAATAATCCATCATTGAAACATCTCGTTGAGAAAATTTATCAAATTTTCATGGAAATGGTTTCAGTCCAAGACGACAAAATGACGGACAGAAACAAACTAGTAACTGCCATCGACAAAATAAAGGAAATCTTTTCGTATATTCAAGATTAAGTCAAATTAGATGTGATCAAGGTTTTCTAGAAATCCCTCCTCCATAAAACCTTTTAAAAGAACGAAAAATTCAGAAATGTGGTTCCAAAAAAAATTGCAAAAACTCACCTCGTCCCAAGGTTAAATACAGGTCTCAACACGAACAAACAAAATATGGTCACTAGACTCAGTGCCCAATTAATTCAGGACATTTAAAGTCATGAATAATCCACTCTGTATATAATGTTACTGACAAATTTTGCTTTTTCTGTCGGATTACACTAATCTCGAAAAGGCAAGAAAACATGGCTACCTCGAGTACTTCGATTTTGCCCAAAAATCTCAAAACAAGTGACGACACCTAACTATACAATTTCTAAGAAAATAACATGCTAAACAATCACAAAAGGAGCCTTGTTAATGAAGAGTAGGCCATCTGGTGGACAATAGTCGAATTTGTAATTTGAACACGGTATAATATCTCGTAGGACTCAACTGCTCCTAAAGAAAAGGCATAAAGAGAGAAAGGGATGATATTTCCCCTCAAAAGGACTCCATCTATGGGATCGACAGAAGACACACGAATGCTTTGTTTTCTGTATTCTGAACTTAACGTATTTTCTAAATATTTGTCAAATCTGACTCATTCAATTATTTTCGTGTCATAACTATTTAGGTTTGTCCTGTTCTATGTTTTACTTCATTACCTTATTGTATATAGAGAAGGTCATCAAAAATCAATTATTGAATCATAGAAGGGTCACGAAATATAGCAGTTGGATTTCTTTTCGGGTTTTTTTCTGTATTTCTTTCTGATTAGCTGTCCTGCCACCTCGGTAGATCTTAATTGAATATATCATCTTTTTTTTTGCAGGGAGGTATTGACAAACAACAATGCAACATTCCACGATGACGGTACAGTCACATATTCACCCTACAGGGACTTCCATCCTGATGAAGCCAATTCAGTTGCCAATCCGTTAACTGAGAGGATTATTGTGCCCAATATACCTGTAATTGTAAGTATAACTCCAATTATCGTACCTTCACCTTTCCAATAACAACTTGTGAATACAATGTCATACAATCGCATACTAACATACACTTAAATCCTTTTTGGGTCAATTTTATGAAATTGTGTAGCACCCCAGATATCTTTGTGAAAATTATTAGATTATGAATTATTTTCCGCTGTACAACACATTTTTCCATTTTTGTCAGAGTCGTTTCGTGCGGGATTTGCAATGAAACATTACAAAAAAAAGCAAATCTGGCCCCTTGATTTATTTCGTTTGAATTCCTGCGAAAAAAAATTCATGAAAGTTTGAAAAATAATTTGTTCAAAATAATGTTATGTTTTTCCCCGTGAGTTAATCAATATAATTGATTACACTGAAAAATCAAACTGAACTTTATTTCACTTTAGTTACAACAACCACTTCAATTAAAACGTCAACTATTATTTGAATGTCTATCGCCTTACTAGATCACTTCGCGCACCGCACTGTTGCGTCCACTTCACTGTGTACTTGACTGTCCGAATACGCTTGCAGCCAGCGTTTAAATATCGCAATGGAACATCGTAGAATTTTTGCCAAAATTCCATCGACATCGGTAGCATGTTTATTGCTGCTTCTCGAGCGGCAGGTAACATTGAATTTTCCCACGCTCTCAGCTACGTCACGTTTGGTTTATGGTAACCAGTGGCGGCTGGCGTTATTTCCTTTCGGGCATGATTTACAACAATAATATTTCCCCAACAGTGAAATGATGAATTTCAAATAATTTAAACACATTTTGAAATGCCAACAAAAAATTATTCCTAACAGAAAACGATGTTAAAAATGTTAACCTCTTCAGTGTGAATTGGGACCCTAATATTTTATAAAGATCCTACATTCCTGTAATCTTCCGCGAATGAAAAGTCTATACGCTGGTAGTGACTGATAGGCGCTTTTGTTCTGACGTTGTATCAAGGTTTGGTATGGTTTGTGTGACTTTTCTGTTGAGACTATAGAAAATGTTCATAGAAAGTTCCTCAAATATCTGATGTTTGAAATAGATGGGGTACCTATACCCCGAACGTCGCATAGACAATAAAGAGTTATGTGGAAGTTTAGTAGAAATTTTCACGTTGCATCTGAGGAGAATTAAATTTTCCAAGTCTAAAACAAATATTTCATCAAAATTGTTTATATTTTTCTCAAGTTATTTTTAGCTCCACTTTGTGTATCCTATCAATTAAATTTGCTTGTTACTATGTATATTGCTTTTCACAAAATACACCCAATGATTTGAGCTTCACAAACTTATGATCTTCAAAACCCTATCTTTGTGAAAATCCAATAAATTTTGTGAAATTACTATCGATTTTTATCTAGTCAATCAGAAAAATAATATGTATATTGTTACGTTTTTTCCCGTAAGTAGACCAATAATTGACAACACTGAATAATCAAATTCAACTTTAATTCACTTTAAATACAACGAACACATCAACTAAAAATTCAGCTATTATTTTAATGTCTATCGCCTTACTATATCACTTCGCGTATGGCACTGTATCTTTCACTTGACTGTGTACTTGACTGTCTTGACTGTTCCATCAACATCGGTAGCAGACTCTCGCTGATTCTCGAGCGGCAGGGAACATTGGGCATTCCCGCACTCTTAGCTACGTCGCGTTTGGTTTATGGTTGCCAGTGGCGGCCGGCATTATTTCTTTCGGGCATGATCTACAACAATATTGCCCTTTGAATGGAAAACTGTTGGGCGAAAAAACTACGGTTATTATGATTATTATCGTTATTAGGTGTCAATTGTCAATATTTCTATTTATTTTTGGGATCCATTGATCTTTGTTAAATGCTGTTGCCAAATTTTTCTTTTTTTCAGAAACAAATAGTTGGGTAATCACAAGAAAACACGTAAGTTATGTTGACGTTCACTGGTAATTATAGATACATATGTCCTATTATCTGCTATTTGGCTAGTTCATTGAGTACTGAATCAAATGTGCCGATATTGCTTTTTGTATGGATGTTTCAAAAATGAATAATAGTTCAATTTTAACGTTGAGTTAAAAACAATTTGGTAAATATTCCAGAAACAACATAAACCTTGAACAAATAATGGTCGTGAATGAAATATCTTCATCTGAATTTCGAATAAAGAATAATTCAGGTTTGTAAATCAAAATATAAAAACATACTCATATATTTTTCCTCCTATCTATGATGGTAATATTACAAGAAATTAATTTTACTCTACTCGAAAAATTCAATCAGTAGGTGATAAAAGCTGTCTTGCAGTGAAAGCTGCAGGAAAAAACAGAACACGAATCTCGTTCGACATTTGATATCGAAACTTGGCTTTGTAAAGGACTACATTAGGGAGTCTTGTTCTTCAGTCTTCCCATAAGAAGATATCATCACTTCTACAAGCCCATGCAAGCAATGCATATCTGAATACTCAGAATTCGTATAACAAATCATGCTGCCTAATAATATTGTCAATTTTAATGACTCAAATACATAACAGCTAAACTAGGTAAGCATTTGTCATATTCACAGAAACAACTGCTTTTTTGCAGTTGGTAGCCAGGCGGTTCGACGTGGTTGCTTTTTTCACTCACTCGAATTGACTGCCGTGTTGGTCGGTGGTTCTAGCCCCAGTCTGAAGGATCGATTTTCACTTGCTATTGTCCAACCCGTGTTAGGAATCACACGTTAATAAGTAAGACCTCGTTAATCCTTAGCTCGCACATAATTCTACTTCTGAGGGTTATCGTTCGTAGGGGTGCGACAGATGGTTAACGGAAAAACAGATTTCAAACAGATTTTTTTTTATTCAAAATAATACCCAATTTCAGGATGACGTACCATTGAATGAACTCACTTTTTCAAGCGAAAAGAAAAGCTACTACATTTGATTGAAAATGCTTCAGTGGTCATATTATGGAATAAAAATCGACCTCAGTAAAGGTAATAGTTAAATCATTTGGAATACAGTATAGGAACTATCAGCTGACAGAAAACAAACTATTATTAACCAAATACAACATGAGAATAGAACAATTCTGATAAAGTTGAAATAGTAAACTTATTCAATGAACATTATACATTGCTATGAAAAAAAATCGCTGAAAAATTAGGACGCCTGCAATTCCACCACTGAAAGGAACGCAAACGCAATTATACATAATTTGAAAGACAAAAAAGCTCCCGGATTTGATGGGATGAGAGCAGAGTTACTGAAAGAAATCAGAAACGAAATTTCCCAACCTCTCACATTATTGATAAATAAAATCATGGAGAATGGAAAATGGTCTGAAATACTCAAACTTAGGATAATAAAGTAGAAAGAATGATGAAATTCTCAATAACCGACCTATTGCGCTAATCAGTAATATCGCAAAAATTTCCGATAAACTATTGAAAGTCAGAATGGTCAGTTATCTTGATAAAAATAAAATTTTATTTGAAAAACAATTTGGATTCGTTAAAGGAAAATCTACAAATGATGCAATTTGCGCGCTCACATAAAAATATATAACAGCCTGGACAGCAAAAAACATTCCCTAGCTGTTTTTATGGATCTTGCAAAGGCCTTCGACACTGTTGACCATAAACAGCTTGTGAAGGATTTGCGTGACCTAGTATTTTAGGGGAAATGTCCACAAGTTATTTAAAAACTACCTGGGAAACGGAAAGCAACAGGTAATAATCGATAATACACTGAGTGAATAATGAATAGTACAATATGGGGTACCGCAAAGTTCAGTATTGGGACAGGTATTATTTATTATCTACATGAATAATATACTCACCCCACAGACCAACAGAGCTATCGTTAGTTTTGCAGATGACACGGCAATATTCTATGAAGATACATCCTGGGAAAATCCGAAAAAGAAAGTCGAACGTGATATGAGTATATTTATATATTATTTCAATAAAAAAAATTAACACTGAACTTTGAAAAAACTTCATTTCTACCTTTCGCTTGTTACTCATCTCTCATTCCAGATTTCAATTACCTGGAAATAAAAATACCAGGGCAAAAAAAGGGAAACATGATGCGAACTGAGTACTCATCCAAAACTATTGGTCAGAGAGGATATACCTACCCATCCAAGCACGAGAATATTTAACAATATTCCTAGGAATATCAAAGACTCAACATCATTTGTTTTATATAAAAAAAACAAAGCAGTACCTCCACGACACAGAAAGGAAAAGAAATACATAATCTGATAGGCCCGAATAGAATTATCTGCGGTAGTATTCATTAAAAGGTGGGAAAACTATACACATTGTCACAATAAATGGTGCACATACATATTGGTGTACAACTTTTAACAAATCATTCATTGTATGTTATTATCATTCTATTATTCTGTATAAGTAGGACAGAATATTATCATTATAATTCTGTTGGTTTGTTTAAGTGTGAAAATTTATTTTCAAACAATTACACTAAATTGTGTTAAAACATAAAACGGACCATAACCACGCGCTGGCTTCCCAGCCTTAGTGGTTCATTTGTTCATTTCAAAATGAAATTTTTGTATAGTATTGAATAATGTTATTCAACTCACTATATAAAATTCTACTCTAGCAACTTGTTATTGATATATTTGTACTGTTTTTTTTTTTGGAAATAAACATTATTATTATTTTTATTATTATTATTCAATGCAAATCGTGTACTGACACCAATAAAAATTAAGTTGCACAGCAGAAAATATCATTAGAGGCATGAAAAGTATATACTACATTTCTCAAGATATTTTAGGGGTACTTATCCAAAATTATCTTATTCGTTTAAAAAAACTATAGCACGCTATAGTTCAAAAGTTAGGACCTTTATGTTATCTCGTTGTATCAATTTTTTTCTCAAAACGGTCCCAAAAATGATTTAGCATAATGAACAATCACAATGAAAAATGCTGATTCAAGATTACAGTTTCATAATTTTTTTTTCACAGGGTATACAATCTTTTCTTACCGATAGTTCATTTGTTACCAACATAGGCTTCTCAACCTTGGCAGCATCAATGGGTGCACCATCTTTCGTCAACTTAACCGTCAATGAATATCTTTGGGGTTACGAGGATAAGCTGGTTTCATTGGCAAATCAGTTCATACCAAGTTGGATCGATTTTGGAAAGTTTGGAATACTCGAGAGGGTAAGTTTCCAGATTGACAAAATGGTTGTTAATCATTATTATCAAAGAAACTAAATTATAATAGATGTGTGATACAGAAAAATATCTTAATTGTGTTAAAATCATCAAAGGAGTTCAGAAAGTGGTATCGCTGAAACACTTTATAATAGAACCAAAGTGATTTTATTCCTAACAATAAATTTCGCAGGAAAAGTTGTCTTCGAATAATGTTCATTTCAAAAATTTTGTGAATGAGACAATTCCAAAAAACGAAAATGATATAACCACATTCGTCACTAGAACACTTACATCTACAACCTCCACCGCGATATCTATAAAAAAAAGCACTTTTCTTGAATGTCACTTCCTTGGTCATACTGAATTCGGTTTTAAATTCAATGTCTGAACCCAAAATAGTCTGAGATCTTCATCGATTTTTAGAGGAACTTCAGGATCCTCCAGAATGAAAAGAAAACAAGTTGAAAATTACATAGCAAATTGATATGCCGGATCATCATCATGTTCAGAAAATTTCTAGCGAACATGGCTAACTTTCCTGGAAAAGAAGAGAACCTATTCCACAAAAGCTGTGAACTGATATTTTTTCAAATTTCAAGTTTTCTGGAAGTTTTGATATATCAAGCAGATGTAGTTCTCTTTTTTTTTTCGAAACTCAGGATTAAAGAGCTTACAAAACCCTCCGGCAAAAATTTTCGTCTAAAACGTAGGAGTTTAGTTCCACGTGTTCCGAAAAAAAGAAAATCATTTTTCCAGTTCAACTGAGTCAGAACTTAACGAGAATGTTCTTGATAATTGACTAATCGACTTTGACGATCAAATTATTTCAAAATATTCTCTACAGGCAAAGATAATGTTTATGAAATTGATAAAACCAATTTGGAACCTATTAAAAAGTGGTTTCTCCCCAAATGCAGGTTTTCGAGCAATTGGTCTACATTTGAAATATTTCTTCGTTTCCCTCTTCCACGAATCATATGATTCTTCTACATTGAAACATTTGGTTATTAGGTATCTAATATTTCAAATACAGATGTTTACTCAACAACTACGAACTTCGGTGTGAAGTTTCACAGTCATATGCTTTTGAAAAAATATCTGAAATCACATAGATTCCATGACATATTTGAATCTACCATTAGACAAAGACACAAATATTTGAAAATTGATCGTTTGATTGTTGAGTATGCGACTGCAGTGTTGCCACCAGGACAAGATATTCTTCCATGAAAATAATGTAAATAACATCCCGAAAAAAACGTCTTTCAGGTGAAAGAAATACACACATACTAAAAAATCCATTTAACAAGACATCCAAATAACTGGATTAATGGAATAGCTTTCCATTTATAAAATGATATCTTCAATATAGTTTTGAAATAATGTTGTTTTTGATGGAAATGTTGAAATATAATAGTTGAAATGGAGTTACTTTGAATCACTAATCTACAAATATTTTCACATGCTCTGTTTGAAGTGATATGAAAGTGAAACATTTTCAATTCAAACCTATCATTTCTGTGTTCATTTTATTATGAACGAAATTGTTCCAAACTATTTTCTTCTATCTGCAGACGTCTTTCGAAAATCAATCAATATATGACCGATTTTTTGCGAATACATTATTTATCAGGTCGGGACACATGATATTCTTTTCATGATGAGAAATTTTTTTTCGGTTAGTAGGGACAAATTGAAATCGGTTTATTGTCTTGTTTCGACAAAAGGCTGCACCAGAAAAATGGAAACATTCGAAAAAAGAAAAAACAATCAATTATGTTAATGGAGAAATTCAAAACCAAACAGTTTTCTCACGAAAATAAACATATCCTCTTTCCAATAGAAATTTTATTCACCAGTTTTTATTCATATTTGCAAAACAGTCACACAGTATTCAATCGCTGCAAATTTTGAAGTTCTCAAAAATACTTCTTTCAGTGAAAATGTCAGTGAAATAACTGAATTTTGTTGCAGCTGATGGACAGAGATAACCACAACGAAGTCACAATCAGCGTCAAACCAGGGCAGAGCTCTTCTCAATACGCTCAGCAACTAACCCAAGAAGAACTGATGTCAGAATACCACATTATCAAATGGAATGGCCTCCATGGCCTCAAAGAGTGGGGCTTCGATGAAAAAAACGAGTCTGCCAAATCCACCAAGAAATGCCAGCTTGTCGAAGGAGCATTCGATGGTACGATATTTCCTACACCTTTGAGGAAATACAGAAACGTGACGATATACAGACATGCCTTCTGTCGCCCCGTCCCTCTGATGTTTGTTAACGAAAATGTGAATTCACAAGGGATCAAAGTCTACAACTACAAGATGGGTGAAGACTTGTTCTCGTCTCCCGATATCAATCCATTCAACGAATGTTTCTGTTCCAACGGCAAATGCCCGGAGAAGGGACTGCAGAACATCGCACCCTGCTACTATGGTCTGCCTATTGTGCTGTCGCAACCTCATTTCCTGAATGGAGATCCTGCAGTGATAAATTCCTTCAATGGTATAGACCCTATTGAGGAAAAACATGGAAGCATTGCCAAGATTCAACCTGATGTAGGTATCCCAATGGATGGATCCATGCTGAGAATACAGGTCAATCTTGGAGTGAGTCAGACCAGGTTTAATTCCAAAACCAGGCCTTTCAACGGTCTTACTTTGCCCCTACTTTGGATTGAACTCGGTTGTACTAAACTTCCTTCCTTCGTTGACTGGTTGTTAACATTGGTTTTTGACGTTCTTCCTGTCTGTCAGGATGTACTCAGCTACTTCCTGGGGATTGTGGGATTAGCTATAATATCAGGAGCTGCTCTGTTGACTTTGTTCTTCTCCAAAGCAGTACCAAGGTCGCTAAGCATATCCCCAGACTACTCAGCCATACCTCTCATAAGCATTCCAGCGCAGTATCTGAGAGAGAAGGAACTAAGGATATGTAAATAATCCGCGATTCGATAATTCAGTTGCCTACAGTAATTAGTAATTACGTCTGTGACGTATTAGAGACTGAAATAAATTATTTCGTACAGGGTTGGCCAAGAGGTTTGTAGGATGAATTTTATTGTTAAAAAAATATTGTGAGTGTTTAGACCGTCTGTATATTGTACATAATTAGTGAGAGAATGTAGATTTAAGAATTAATTATTTATAAATGGTTTTCAAGTGTCCTTTCTAGTTTTAAGTAATGAGTTGAAAAAAAAAATCTTTATTCAATGATATTGTTTTTATCATATATCTCCAATCATGACTCCTCTATCAACAGAAAAAAAATAGTTTTTCCATGATTGTTAATCTTCATTGGTTTATTCTTCCGAACTATCCGAAACAAAAAAAAATAATATATTCAATTTTCAATTGAATTATCTCAATTTGAAATAAACTGTGAAGAATTGCTATCTGTACTTTTATTGAAGGTCTGAGAATTCTGAACATATCTATAAACAAAAATAAAAAGTGAACAACATTAGAATATTATCCACAATTATCACTCGTATATTCATATTTCAGATTTTTTATACAGAAATATTTTTGTATAAAAGTTCTCTGAGTGGATATGAAATTATTTGAGAGAAATAATAATTATGGATTTCCGAATAGCACTCTCAAAGCAAAACATTCATTATTGATGTAGTATGTCGTATAAAATATAGATCCACATGACGTCCATATATTGATGCATGATTATGCAACGTCTTTCATTTGGAAAGTTCGTCGCATATACCTATAGATATATGAAAATCTGAAAATATTTTTTTTTGGTTGGGGCGATCACCGATAGACCGGTTTCGGGTACTAGCCTCTCGTCAGTACCGGGAGGGTCATTTCAGACGGAGTGAACTGTCAATATCCCGAACAAACAGTCGACAGCCATCTTGGTTGTAAACAGGTTTTCTTACCCTCACCCTGGCGTTTGTCAGAAGGACAAAAGGGTCATAATTGATCATGGGATGACGGCATGAATATCCTCAGACATCAGTACCGCCCTTCACGATGAACCCCTGCCTGGCTGGGGTGAGTGGATGAGGAAATTGTTAATCCGTTAACGGGGGACATGAGGGTTTCCTTCGACAGAGTGTCGGTGCCTTCTATATCAGGAGGGGTCGTCTACAGCATAATCTATAGCTTCCCTAACTAATGGATTATCGTGAGCTCCCGCGCAATCGAAAACTGGCCGATTCCTCGACTGAATGGACTGCTGAATGGAAGGAAGCTGCAAATCTCTGCACGAACCACGGAGCATTCACAATCATCCGTATTAACTTATTCTGAAGTTAATACAAAATGGAGATATTGCTTGGAGCTGCGTGTACCCAGACGCCTGAAGCGTACATGATGACAGACTTGAACATCATGTTATACAGCGTAATTTTGTTTTTGAGGCTCATTTTGGATCTTCTATTGATCCGAGGGTACAGACTTTTGATCCAACCCTCGATCTTTGCCTTCACGGATTCGAAGTGTGGGTTCCAGGTGAGTCTACAGTCTATTAGAAGACCGAGGTACTTTACCCGCACCTGCCAGTCGATCTTCCTTCCAGAGATTCTCACTTTTCTGGCCGGAGAAGATATCATTCTACCCATAGTTATCGCTTGAGTCTTGTCCGGGTTCACTCGGATGTTCCATTCGAGGTACCAGCGCTCGAGATCGTCCAATACATGTTGCATGTAGACGATGCCAAGCTCTCGTCCGAAGGAAGATGAGAGAAGAGCCGTGTCATCGGCGTAGAAATATATCTTCACACGCTCGGAACTCGAAAGGTCGCTGGTGTTAAGGGAGTACAGCATGGGAGAGAACACAGCCCCCTGTGGCACTCCAGGCGAGGATCTCCCTGTTATCAGACAGAGAGCCCTCATCAATTTGAAGTCTGTTTAAAAAAAATTTTATACTTACCGGAGTCGCCTGACAGCGACTCTTGGGGGGTGGTCTTTGGTTCTGCTTCGTTGGCCTCCTGTGTTTGTCCCTCTTTCGGGATCTGGGGTCATCCCTTTTCAGTGCGTTATGTAGGTCGCTTAGAACCCGAACAAACAAAATAATTACAACTATTCCGCACTATCTGCAGTTGATTCAGTAGGATGTACCTCTGCGCCACCTGCAGACAAAGTCCGGAAACAACTCCACAAACAAATACTCCGAAATAGTACGAATAATAAACATATTCAGGTAAAAGTACCTTCCACTTGCCTTTCATGTGAACCTACGATTTTGTAGATACGTGTGGTAGATAGCCAAAGGAAAAACAACAACTAAACCAGTTAATGCCGCACCGAAAAATGAAATAAAATGCAAGTAACTTCATACATATGAAAAGCCATATGAAAAGCTGAAATTAATTTCGTTTGGTCGTTGTGTAGTCGTAGTAGCGGCATCATCCATCAATTTATTGGAATTTGAAATGACTAACATGTAACAGCAATCAATACATTGATATCTCATTCAAATAGATTTTGATATAACATTAATCTTTTTTTTTTAATTTCAACCATATACATCATAAATATTCACTTTTTGGTTTTGAGGGGTTGTCGAATTATAAGTCATTAAGAGTTGAAACAAATATTTTGGCCTCACCTCTCAATGAACTAACACTTGAAAAGTTGTAAAGGTTACAGATATTGAAAAAGTATTTGACAATTCATTTCAGAGAATATAATTTGAAATTGAATTTATTTCTAACGTATGCTAGGAAAATCATTAGAGCTTTTTATATTCGTTACTTCCCATTCGGTTGAAAAGGAATCAGAACACTGGAAGAAATTTGAGGTCATTATGTGATACGTCGAATAGAATTTTGTAAGAGTTAAATCAATTATTATACAAATCGTGTCCCACCGCCAATTAGCTGCTTTTCCAGTACCAATCTTCAAAAGCATTTCAGAGATTGTGTGAATTGCACCTAGCAAAAGCTAGGTGCGACAGTGATCTCTTGAAAATAAATTCACTCGTTTCATTAATATGTCTATTTGCAATTTGATTTTGATTCTGTGATAACTTCATTTATTTATACATTTATTGAATCACAAAATCATGTTTATGGAAATATACAATTATTATTACTTTATTTTTTCTTAATGTTGTCATAAAGTGACATCTTCCGTTGAGGAGACGAACAAGGACACACACAAATTCAAAACCAACAGTTGAGAGGATTCTCTAAAGATCGGCATGAGAGTTTGAGAAATCAATACTTCTCGCACTTTCTGTGATATTCAATAGATGGCAGAAGTTTCATATTCATTGGTAAAATGAATTGTAGGAGTAGTTACCGAGTACAGATTTTTTTGAACTCCTGACCAAACTTCTTCAACAAATTCACTCATTGTTAGCCTTCATTTAAAATATATTTTCAATCGATTTAATCAGGCACCCACATCATGGAGTGCCTGGGGTGGTTTTGTAGACTCAGAGGTAGGTTGAAAAATAAGAGTTTTCTGAAGTTAGATCTTAAATGTTGACTTAAGGACTTTCACGTTAACTCTTGCTCGAAACAATCTAATGCATAGCAGACCAATTCTTATGGTATTAACTTGTATGAGGGAAAATAAATATTGGCAGACGAAACCAAAGCCCACAGACAATTCATTCGTGATCCAATACCAGACAGTGCTGGTTCGACCCGCTTTAGGTCTCATCACTGGTGCTAAGCTGAATCATGAATGTATTGCGCATCTCAACTGTCCATGAAAGACAAACCTGAGTGGATAGGGCATTGACATCTCCCCTTACCGAAACGACATGTATGGAATTGACAGAGGTCTCAATCCACGAACGGAATTGGTGGTGATGTTTCGCAAAGCTAAGCTTTGACATCGACCACCGAATGATATTCGGACTGCAGCTGCCACTGCAGATTGTGGAGACATTCATACTTGAAGAATGCAGAAATCTAATATTTACAAGTGAATACATAATTTAAAATGATATTTAAAATATATGTTGTGTTTTGAATCAAAACCTAATATTCAATATACTACACAAAACAATACACACTCCTAGAAACAGTAAACCTAGAGAAAATCCAACACAAAGGATATTACCTGATGTAACCCAAATACAGTCAAATTTACCTACAGTACCTGCACTAAGCTGTTCTGACCGCATAAAAGAACAAACAAGAGGATGAAACGTTGTTTGAATAGAGCCTTGAAGATGATAGCACGACCAGCTGTCGAAAGCGCTCGCATACATTAAATAGAAGTTATAAAGCTTTAATTCCTTTTTGTGACATATAATAATATTAAAATACTGAAAATAAAGGAATATTAGTTGCACCATTCAAATAATTTTCCTTTATTTTCAGTATTTTAATATTAACATATGTCACAAAAAGGATTTGAAGCTTTATAATTTTTCTTGAGTGCTGTTCCGGCTATTCTTTTCCCTTTTTGAATTAAATCATAGACACTCGACCACACCTTCTCTTTTATATTCATATCCTGGACTCGAAAGTCACGCAGGTAGCTATGGCTGCCTCCGTGGTAATGCAGGCTCCTGTTGGTGACTCCGTTCGTTTGTGGTGCTCTCCCGTTATTGGCACAGAGTCTGCGGTTATTGGCAACCAAGTGTCGCCCATCCCTGCACTTTACCACACCGCGCTAATGAGGCCAATAGCCAGAAACACGTGTACACGGTTTGCCAAAAATGTTTCTTTGAGTGCTGTTCCGACCAATCTTTTCTTTTTTAATTAAATCATTGAGACTCGATAACACCTCTTTTATTGTGTTGAAAATTCTTGTCTCAATATCCTCATTGAGAATTATGAAATTCAAAACTCATTTATTTCTAAGGTAGTCGCAAAAAGTCATAACAATAAATTTTTGTTTTATTTAATAATATCATTAACGACTGTATGTTTATTTACACATATTTACAATTCATAAATCTTATCAGGTATTTGGGGACCTCCGCAAAGATTTTATTTTCGATTTAATCCAAGGGAGGTAGTAGGATAACCTTGTGTACACATCTGGAAAACCTGGCTTGGCACATCCAGATCCAAAGGATGTTATTCCGGCTAAAATCCAACGACCGTCTGCCATGGCACATTGAAGCGGACCTCCGGAATCACCCTGTACAAAACAAAGTTGAATGAATAGTATAATTTGACCAATGCATTCGAAGAAGTACCATGTGTACCAAATATAAATTTCTCAAATAGAATGGAAAAGAAAGTTATTGGCTTTCTACTTCTCCATCTTTTCTGGAAGATTCCCCTATTT